TCTGTGTGGAGCAGGTCTGTGTGGATCAGGTCTGTGTGGACCAGGTCTCTGTCTCAGCTGAGCTGTGGGTCACAGGGACTCTGGGTCAGGGTCTCCAGAGTCCGGTTCAGTCTGGGTGAACGTCAGTGAAGCTGTGTTCTGTGTTTATCTCTGTTCAGCTGAAGCTTCACTTTAACACAAACAGCTTCATATTTAGTCTGAGACAGAAAATCTAAACTCAGCTCAGTGGCTGGGGGGGGGGGGGGGGGGGGGGAGACATACCTGGAGGCCCTGTTAACCCTCACCCTGCTTTTTCCACTCACCCCTCCCCCATCTCCCTCCCTTTGTTTATTTTACACCATCTTTTCTTTCCACAGAAGAAACTCTGAAAGATTCAGGAGGAAAGAAAAAGTTCAGACACTGAACTAGTAATCTTCATCTTCATCTTTATCATCATCATCATCATCATCCTCAGGAGGGATCAACTGATTGAGGCTTTGAAATGGGACGACCTCGTCGCATCACTGGTACGTGAACTTTATTCTCCCAAAGCATGATGGTTGCTCGGAAATGTCAATATGTCAAAATAAAGACGAAACTTGTCCAAAGGGTCTGAAACATTTGGTTGTGAATCAACGTGACTTTTATTCTGAAACTATCTGAGCTGTTCAGTGACTCCATCTAAACTGTGTAAAGAAAAAGAAAAGATATAGAAGATATAAAACCACGTGTGGGAAACTGAAGCTTCAGGTTCATGTTTGACAAAAGAACTAAAATAGTTTTACTCTTCAACTTCAGAAATCATTTAGCTTCATGTTTTCGTGAAGGTCTCAGGTGAGAAGTGAATCGTTCCCCACGATGACGTGAGCAGGTCACGTGTTCTGTTTCTCAATGTGTAGAAATCAAACGTCCTCCTGCGCTCGGCCTCAGCAGCTGGAAGTCATTACACCCCCGCCCCCCCGTGTTTTACCACATTATAAATCCACTCAGGACTCAGAGCCAGACGAGTCCGAGCCAAGTGAGTCGACTACAACAGCAACGCTCAGCTGGAACAATTCAAACACTCACATTCACAAACATCATAAATATCAACAGTGGTGATCAAACGTCACATTTTCAACGTGAAAACAAAACAGAATAAATCGTTGTTATGAGACAACGATCCCTGAACCAATCACTGACCAATCACTGACCAATCACTGACCAAGTGTCAGTTGCTGCTCAGGGTCGTTCTGTAGAAACATAAACATATTTCTGTTGAAGAATCTGAAACTTGAGTAAAAACACGTTGACTCATCAGTTAGTTGACAAGTTGATGATGATGAAGTTTAAAAGTCAGAGAAAGTTTCGTTAATGTTGCGTCTGATAAAAGTTTGTTTTACACACGTTTCTCTCTCCGACTCTGTGATTTTAATATTTAATATAAAAAGCTTCCAGGTTTGATTTAATGAGTTGAACCTCCAGCAGAGAACAAACACTGTGAGTCCGTGCTGCTGTTCAAACCGGCCTGTTAAACTTTATAATCCAATAAAACCTGAAGCACAACAGCAGCTCTGACAGATCTGAGATCAGACTGGAGACAGATTCTTCACACTGGAAACAACAGAAGAAAAACTGACTCATTGTTCATCACTAACGTAAAAACATCTCATTTTAATCCTGATATTTACAAGAAATATGCTTAAATCCTGTTTCCATGACTACTGGCGATATTTTCTATGGCTCATTACAAAGATGTGTTTTATTTTTAAATGACTCCGTCTATTCTAACAGGAAACATGTGGAGCAGCTTCTCCTCTAAACAAATTCCCCAAATATTTAGCTGTGAGCTCTGATTGGTCGGAATACAGTCACCTGATCAGTCGCTGTTCGATGAAGAGTTTGAAAAGATTCTTTCAGATCGTTCTGCAGAAAATATGATGAGATTCATCCTGTGACCATTTTTCATTCTGCAGCTCAAAGAAAGAAAAAAGAAATATTTTCACATCGTCAGACAGGAGCTGAGAGACGACCTCGGTTCAGGACGTTTCAGGAAGTCTGGCGTCACTATGACATCATCTGACATCACTATGACATCATCTGATATCACTATGACATCATCTGTCAGAAAAATCTCATCTGAAAAAACAGTGGTGCTGCTTATTTGTCTTCCATGTGAAAATATATTGATGTTAAAAATGTATTGCGCCAAGAAAACCACGCCCCCTGGTGTTGACAGGAAGTTAAACTGCTGCAGGTGAAACTGAACACAACTGTAAACACACTGAGGACTCAGCCGGTCAGTGGGTTGAGGTTAAAGTTAACTTAATTAGTTAATTAGTCACTCACTGTAAACGTGAACAGATGTACGTGTTGAGAGGTCACATCAGCACCAGGTCGGTGGTTGGTGGTTGGTGAGTTATGGTTAACCCACTAACCACTAACCTGGTTTTCACCCACTCACCCTGATGTGATGTGGCAGCGACGGAATTCATGACCGAACCGAGAGAAACGAACAGAAGAGGAAACGTTAAGACTCAGATTTATTCACGTGAACGTTAAATTAGCAGAATCTCATCAGAGAGAAGAAGAGTTCAAAGTGAAATCTGTCCACTCGTCTCGTCTCTGTCGTTTTCTTCTTCACACGTTTTATTCCTCTGTTAAATATTTTCATCTGGAAATAAAAATGTTTAAACTGACCTTCACTCATCCGATAAAAAGAGTCACATGATCTTGACCTGCAGGGATGGGACGAGTCTTCACTTCCTGTCCGAGCCGTGCAGGAACAGGAGGTCATCAATCTGTTGTCATGGATATCATGAAGCAGAGAGCGTTTCCGTGGAGACAGGATGAGCATAGTTTATTTATCAGAGAGGAGACGCCAGCGAACAGCTGCTATCTGTGACTGAAGGTCGAGCTGCAGCTCATTGGTCGATACGTCTCTGGACCAATCAGCAACCTCTGACCCGGTGAACCAACACATCCTGCTCTGCTCACTACAAGTTCTGTCGTGGTCTGAGTCCGTCTCGCTGGGCGTTCCTTCAAACTGTGGACGGACATCGAGTCCCTCGTCTCAGGGCCCCTGTTATCTGCTCACGTCGCCACGCAGACGACACCCAGCTCCACCTGTCGGACGACCTCACCATCACCTGACCCTCATCTGGTCACAAGACCAGAACGTAAGTAACAGGAAACTGTGTGTGATCGGACCATGATGCATCTGTCTCTGGTTGGTGACAACATCAGAGAACTCAGGTCTGACCTCATGACCCACCAGCCGGTGGTCGACAGTCTGTAAACGGTTTTTAAATACTTAGTAAAGTCGATTCGTAAACTACTGACTCACAGAAACTCAGCGAAACTCAAGCTTCACTTAATTAACAGCAGTCGGAAACTTCACTCAGTCCTGGGGTCAAAGGTCACCTGGTTGCCATAACGACCCAGCAGACAGGAAGCATCTGGTCTGACGCTGCTTTTATTTTGGAGGATAAACTTTTAATCTGAAAACCACTGATGATCAAATCCTGTATCAGAATATTTTTGTAGTTTTTATTATTATACAAATGTTATTGAGTAATATTATATGAATATTATATATACTGTATCACTTTGTGTAATATTTAACAGTAGAGTCTCAGTTAACAGTAAACTGACCTCAGATCTGTTTCTCTCTTTGAACAACCTGTTCCAGATGTTTCCATGACGACAGAAGCTGGTCAGAAGAGAGAACACCGAAGGAAAACTTCCCATGGTGCACTGGGACAACCCCCCACCACCACCGTCAGGGCTGCATCTAAACTGACTCAGGGTCAGTTCACTCTAAGAAACGACATCCAATCAGATCACACATCAGCCTGAGAACGGACCAATCGGGAAACGGCAGAAACAACCGACATCTGGAAATCATCTTCCTCACCTTGATCCTGTTTTTATTGTTGCCATGACGACGCCCTGCAGAGCGACAGCCTCACAGTGTGCGTGTGTTGAAACCAGCTGTTACACACATTAACCTCTGAGTGTGTGTGTGTGTGTGTGTGTGTGTGTGTGTGTGTGTGTGTGTGTGTGTGTGTGTGTGTTGGGGGGGGGTTGGTCAGATTTGCAGTCTGCTGCCTCCTGCTGGTCTGAAGTGGTTTATGAACTGAAACACAACAGCAGCTGGTGACGTCTCTGATCACAAAGTTCTCTCGTAAACAAAACGTCAACAATCGTGTTTATAAAAATCTCTTTGGTTACACATCAGGTTCTTTATTTGACCTTTGATCTTCGGGCGTCAACAACAACAAAGACAGAAACATGAAAACAAAGTTTGTAAACGAGTCAAACTGATTCTTCTATTAGTTTTAGTGCAACTTGTCAAATGGCTTCATCTTAAACACGTGACAGCGCCACCTGCAGGCAAACAGCAGGGACCCAAAGAAACCTGAACCCACCCACTGTCAAAAATAATCTCATTAAAATAAAATAAAAACATTTCTCTGATGACTACAGATAAAACGATTTCATATATTTTGAATTTGATTCAACACCCAGATTACCTTTATTTTTAAACAGGAAGTTTAACTACGACCCCGTCATTCATTTCCTCCATTGAGTAAAAGCCCAATAACAACTGAGCACTACCCGTCCATTAGTGATCGGCCTAAAGCGTAAATACATATAAACAATAACGTTTTATGAACCTATTCGATTAAACCCTCGTTAATAAAGTGCAGCTCTGATTGGATGGTTCCAGATGTGTAAACAGGAAGTCAGTTTGAATCTTCTTCTACACTTAAAGGCACAGCTCTTCAATTCAAACAAAGACACCTGCTGACAGGAAGTGACAGCGGCTGACAGGAAGTGACCTCACTGTTTGCTGTCCAGTTTCAGGAAACGCTGTGATTTCTGTCTCGCCATTCGGTGCTGCTGCTGCGCCGCCTGAGCGTCGGATATGGCCTCCTGCAGCGTCTGTAGGTAACCATGGCAACCAAGTAAGTGTGGGGCCATAAAAAGAAACAAAAGAGATGACACACACACACACACACACACACACACACACACACACACACACACACACAGTACCTGAGCGGTGTTTGCGTCTCTGAGCTGAACTTTCCTCACCGAGTCCTCATCTCTCTTTGGCAACTTTAACTTCTGCTGCTCCTGATGCGCACGTACACGCACGTACACACACACACACACACACATTATAGTTCAGTTTGTTTCAGGTTCATTTCATATTTTATTTCAAAGTTCACTTGAAGTTTTATTTTGGTACCTTGCAGTAGATCTTCAGCTCAGATCCCGTCACAGCCGGAGGACGATAGAAGTTCTCAAACAAACACTCCCACTCTTTGTTAAAATGGCCGACAAAGTCAATCTCCTTCACGCACAAGACTCTCCTGCACAACAACGCAAAGGCAACAGTAAGACAACAATCACACGACAATGTTAGTGAGGCTTTTATTGTGGAGGTCTGTACCTGTTGGTGATGATGATGTTGGTCTTCCTGTGTCCAGGATATAAACAGTGACGTCTGAAAACTTCACCGTCCAGCTGTTTGATTTGTGAACGCTGGAAACAAACAGTTCATTTATTTATTGAATCTGCGTCTTTATGTTTCAGCTGTGACACTGGATTCATCTGAGGATACAACATCCAACTAGAACCAACTAGAACCATCTAGAACTAACTAAACTGACCAGAATCAACCACAATACACTTGAACCAACGAAACTAAACCAAACCAACAAGAAATAGAAGTTAGAGTTAATGAGTGTTAGTCAGGGTGAGTTTATTTTTGCTAGTCAGAGCTAGTTACCGTTAGTTAGAGTTAGTTAGTTAATTACTGTTAGATAGAGTTAATTCAAGTTAGTGTTAGTTGTTGTGAGTGTTAATGAGACAAACGTTCTGAACATTTTCACTGAGATTCAAATGAATTAATTTCATTAATTGAGTCTGTTTTTTGATTTCATACACTTTAGTACACACGTTATATTATCAATGTTATTATTGCTTTCATTTGACAGCACAGATGTGTAATAACACATCGGGTACAAATAACATCTGCAAAAATGAAGAAGCTTCAAAACTGATGATTCAGTGATTTTTGTGTTTACACATCTGAGAAAAGAGAGAGAGTTAGTGAAGAGAGAAGTTTTATTACATCTGAAGTTGAACAATAAGATTATATACACACACACACAGACACTCACACACAC